TTAGTATATCATTACGTCTTTATCAAATATTTCAAGACAAATAGAGATGGCATGAGATTTTAAATGCGATTATATTTTAAATTTGAATAACAGTGGCCCTTAGTTTATTAATTACTAAAATTCATTTAAGACCTTTAATTTAAATGAATATTTAGGTATAATTACCAACCTGCCATAATTTTATAATTCCTAAATAATAATAGAAATTGAGTTTATTCCTAATCTTTTATGTAATAGCAGCCGCCCCTTCGTTCAATATGTAAAAATAACTATTTGTTCTCATGATTGAATTTGCAAGACCTTCGCTAAGTAAACAGGTGAATACTTATTTCACAGTGAGTCTAAGTATAACCATTCGGTACGGGAGGCCCCTACTTACGCCTTAGGTTAGTTGATTATTGCATGAAGCTCTAGAACGTATCAGTGGTTCTCGAAAACAATGGTCGCTATAAAATTACAATTTAATAGTATAAATTATCATTGTGGAATTACTGACTTAATACAAAATATAAATGTTTCCTAATATATTTCCAAATTTCACCGGTAGTCATCGTTATGAATATGTCATTTTTTTTACGTTTCATTAAAACATCAGATAATATTTTATATAAGCTTTAGTTATGTTTAAAAAAATACAAAGATTACATGGCTCGCGTGAAGAAAGAACTTGATGTTTTGAGTTTTCACACAATTTTCACACTTTGCAACAGTACTCTTAGCAGGAACCATTATCGAATTCAAATTTTGTATGGAAACTTTAACAGCAGCGGCACAAAGTACGTAACAAGAACTAAAAATCAGTTTACATTTGACAATGACATTTCGGGCTCGCAGACGATACGAATTCGATATTGGTTCGTGATGTGATGATGATGTCGAAACTCAATAATATCTTCTGAGGAGATTCGAGCGAGAAACTATAGTTACACTCACTTCGTGCAAAATTTAATGTCATGCTTCTACAATAAAATTAAATGTACCGCATGGAATTGCTCTATTCCAAGGGTATGTACCGACCCCATGTTTAATGCACTACTATTTCGGTACCATCCCGTGGTTTACTTTTCTGTATCATTGAACACAGAGTGCTTTCATATTTTTGTAAAGTTAAAACTTTGAAATATTTCATCATCTCCGAGTTCTGTAGGGATTCTGTGGAATTACTGAGGAGAGGTAGGTCACAGTGGATATTCCGCTCAAATTGGAGCCCTCGTCTGGGGAAGCAACCTCCACCTTACAGAAGATTACAGTAAATAACACTACAATTTAGTGGTGCTGAGTTTCTGCTAGTGAGAAGGGTTCTAGGGCTCCACGGGATAGGGGATTGTGTTCAGTACCCTTAGTACGAGTTTTACAATTACGAAACTATGACAGTTTTCGTGAGCTCGCAGTTACTGATTTTATTGATTTCGTTTCAATACAAATAAACAGTGTTTAAATTCTATCATTAAATCATTTGCGTCTTCTTAAATTTTAAGTATATTGGTTTTTTTTTTCACCAAAATGGACATAGAAAAAAAATTAACAATTACGAAAACTATGATAGTTTTATAGACACCTACTGCCTATCTTCGCAACTATACTCAATTTACTCATAACATCAGGTGGGGTAGGGTAATATATGTTTCGCCACGTATAAAAAAAAATATCTTATTGAAAAGCTTAGATTGTCCCAATTGAATCCCTAGTTAAATATTTATTAGATCGTTTCACACCAAATTCGCAATGTCTGCTGAAGCAGCCCAGTAATAGAGATTGAATAATTGTCGAAAATTTGATGGTGCGAATGCATACTGTTATCTAATCAACAAACTACGCTCAATAGTGAATTTTCGCGGCTATTGAAATTTGCTTCAATTTTGTTTGGCAAGTTAACATGCAGTAATTGTTTTGCTTTCTTTTAAAAGAAAGTTAATACTTCTACATTGATTTGACAGGAAAGCGAATTCCGGTCTCATAAACAATTCAATAGTATTATTTGTACTTTTTGTTTTTCTTCTAAACATATTCAGTATATTATTAAGACAACCGTTACTGACTGAACTATGAACACAAAACTCAAACAACTGCAGTGCTGCTGAACGGATTGCGCCAAATATAGCTATTATGATATAGAAAGGATTTTCCAAAACTCACCCCTTAAAGGGGCAAGACATGGGGGTTCAAAGTTTTTATAGGAAACCAATATTTCCAATTAGACACAGTCGTGGGCATCCAATAGTAATAAAATAAAATAGTACATAAAGTGCATCTACAAAAGATTTTCTTTAAAGCAGACTTTTCTTCTGAACGTATTATTGTTAGAACTGATATTTCATAGTTTTTAAAAGAAGCTTCTCTCGCTATTAAAAGTATAATACTTTGAAGATAGACTCAGCACAATATCCTATTCTTGCAACATGGTTGGTATTATAAAATACCTAATCCTGCACCCGCGAACAGTACCTAAAGAGAGAGCGTGTAATTGAATTTCTGAGGCGCTACGCGGCACGGTAGCCAGATAAGATAAGGGTCTTTTTTAATAATAAACTGCTCTTATGAGACATCACTTAGCCAAGTAGGGCATCGGAATTAAGAGAAAATAATGATTAATAACACCTTTACATATTGACGTGATAAAAATTACAAAATTGTTTTTGTCGCTCTTGCAAATTAAAATTCTCTTCACGCCTAGTTATCTTCATATTCTCGGTGTGCCTATTGGAATTTTCTTTAGTTCATTGGTTTCACTACTATAATTATAAAAAATCCTATGAATGAACTTTGTGTATATTATCATTCTCTCTTCTTATAACTCCTTCGATTAAACTATCAGTCAGTTTTTAATAAATTAAGCTACTTTTTTTTATTTCTAGAAGAAAACAAATAATCTATTTTCATGATCAACCAATTTGCTTATTTCTTGGTAATGAGATGTACTCGTGCTTTGTGCTTATTGTTATTTACGTAACAATTATTATTTGTAATAGCGGATATGGTTTTGGATTTTGAAGTCGGACATGAGATAATGAACTGTACCCTTAGCACGAACCAATATCGAATTCGTACCGTTCGCGAGTCCGAAATGTCATTGTCAAATGTGTACTGATTTTTAGTTCTCGTAACGTACTTTTAGGTACTTCTATCAAGTTTCCATACAAAATTTGACATTGACATTCCGCAATTGCAAACTATTCGAATTCGATACTGGTTCGGGCTAGGGGTACTGACCAAAGTAGTAAAACGTATCTTAGAATTTATGACCAACCCGGATGAGTAAAAAAAACAGCCTAGTGCGACTAGGACTTGTACACAAAGAGTTCTGCACCATTTTATAGGATTAACAAAATATCATCTTCTTCCATAACAATATTATTTCTTTTATTAGTTCCCCTATTCATTTTTACACATTACTACAATAGAAATACACAATATGCGAAATTTTGAAAGTTTTGAGAGACAATAAGCAGCTATTTTAACCCACAGGTAATCACATAATATTCAGACAGAAAATGTGGTTATTATATCTGTTATTGGGCGATCTGTCTCAAGAGTTGATGTCCCCGATATTTCATCCTACAACGTGATTCGAATAAAACTTATGTCGTACATCTCTATTCGGCAGCAAGGAAATGAAAAAAAATGGGCTACATTATCTAAAGACAGAGCGACGTCACTTGGAGCGGGTCGGCTCTTGCATAATTTATTAAAATCTTATTAAAAAGTGCCACCGAACAAAAAAGGAGAGTGTCGGTATTGTAAAAGTCTCTATTAGGTCCTTTAACTTTTGAATTTTGTTGTATCAAGTTTTTTAATTAGGTGCCTCCCGTTGTTTTGCGAAGTATTGCGAACTTTTGATGTAGGTAAGGGTGTTATTGCATCTTCAATGGTTCGTTATAAATGCTTAACTATAAAATTAATATAGTATGTTGTATTAAAAACTGCTGTTATTAAAACAGCATCTATTCTTATATTTATTGGGAGCAATGAGGCTAAACAGGACCGGAAACGTCGAAAATTATGTAAAATTCTAGGAAAGATCAAGTTACTCTTGAAAACGTGTTTAATAAGCGAATGGCAAATGTAAAGCAGTTATAATAATAGAACTAATTCGTCAACATTTATTGGCTTAATTATATTTATAGAATAACAATAACATAAAAAGCTATGACGGCCATACTCAGAGTCGTCAAACAAATATGTCATTTAAAGTCACTTGTTGTAAAACTACACGACCATTGTTATAAAATATAAAGTGATAGGAATAACTTTGATCAAGCTTAAAGTTGATTGTCGTCTGAGAATGCCTGTTAGTTGTTTACAATTTTTGGCGCTAATTATTTTTAAGATTCACATTACCGTTGCATTAAAATTTAAATCATATTACAAATATAAATTTCTTACATAAAAACTATTTTTATTAAATTGTTTTTGTGACAAAACTAAAATTAACACTTATTACAAGCAATTACGTTGACATTGGTAATTAAATAACAATTCACATAAACATTACCTAGGCATATTCTATTAGTATATATTATATTTAAAGAACAACCAGGGCTTGTGGTATATCCACCTGTACTGTGGCGCCACGTCGGTGTACAGCACATAGAAACGCGGGTCGCATTCTGTGTGTCTTGGGGACCGCACTCAGTGAGAACGCCTCGCAGAAACCAGCTGATCTTGTGATCGTTTTAAATTATGGCAAGGAGTGTAGTATAGGTATAAACATTACCTAGACATACTCTATTAGTGAACTATATTAGGTCTAAAAGTCAATCCGGAGTGGTGATATATCCACCCGTAGTGTGGTGCCACGCGTCAGTGTACACCACATAGAAACGCGGGTCGCATTCTGTGTGTTCTGGGGACACGCCGCATTTAGAGAGAACGCCTCGCAGAAACCAGCTGATGTTGTGGTCGTTTTACATTACAGGAAGTTTTATATTTAAACATAATCTAGGCAAACTCTATTAGTGAATTATATTAGGTCTATACGTCAACCCCGAGTGGTGATATATCTACCCGCAGTGTGGTGCCACGTCGGTGTATGCCACATAGAAACGTGGATCGGATTCCGTGCGCCCTGGGAAGACGCCACACTTAGAGAGAACGCCTCGCAGAAACCAGCTGATCTTGTGGTCGTTTCGCATTATAGGAAGTTTTATAAGTATTTAAACATAACCTAGGCAAACTCTTTTAGTGAATTATGTTAGGTCTAAACGTCAACCCGGAGTGGTGGTATATCCACCCGTAGTGTGGTGCCACGTCGGTGTACACCACATAGAAACGCGGATCACATTCCGTGTGCCCTGGGGAGACGCCACACTTAGAGAGAACGCCTCGCAGAAACCAGCTGATCTTGTGGTCGTTCTGCATAACGGGAAGGACTAGACCGCCTCCGCTATCGCCGTTTCTCGGATTTGTGCCTGTAAATGTATATTGAATTAAAAAAAAATTGAGACCACAAAAACGTATATTAAGGTACCTTGTTAATCTTACTAATATGATAAATGTGAAAATGTGTCTGTACGTTTGTTACTCAATCATGCAAAAACTACACAAGGAATGGATTTAGATGAAATTTGATACGCATATGTATATTACCTGGATTGAGACATAGGATTTTTTTTTCCTGGAAAATTTTGGGTTCCTGTATGAAGGTCAAAAAACTAATTTGTCAATTTGGATCGGCTACCACGCGTGTGACATAGCTTGCGACAACCTTAAACTTGCGCAGTAGACATCTCTGTTTGTAAAATTTCTAATGTGCTGGCTTCCTTGTATATCATCGTTGCTCAAGAAGTTTTCCGGGGTGTATACTACATGGTGTTGCATTCGTCCATAAGCCACGGTGACCGCTTATCAGTGTTGTCAGGATCCAATAAGCAAGAGACACATGGATTTAAAAAAGTAACATTCTGGAGTAAAAGCTAACGCCATGATTTGCATCCCCGTAACAGAATGAAGAGGTAACGTTTTGAGTCAGGTAACGCGAAGGTACCGTCACAGGACCAAAACTAATGCAAATGTTACAAAAGTAACTTTGTGTCAACACTGCGTTTACCATCAGGCATCAGGTGGATCGTGTGCTAGGTTTCTCTTGTAGTTTATAACTTTATCTCGTGCATTATGTAATATATTACACGAGTTGAATAACTAAAAATATACTCTTTCGCAGAAGCTAGGGTATTGAGAGGACAAACGGGAATTTAATAAAGCAATCGTAATGTCATGCATTGGCATGAGACTTTAAGAGAACTTTGACGGAGGAATACTTTGAGAAGCCATGAATGTAGGTTTTGTTCCCAATACTAGACAAATTACCGTTACCTACAATGCGAGTTAAGCACCACTGAAAACAAAATCCTAAATTATGCTTCAGCGTCTAACTATATTGAAAATTTTAATAATTGATTGGGTAATGGTTTCGAAATCTGTCTGTGTAGGGCAAACAACCTGGATCCGATTTAGCAAAGTCAACGACGTTGAGCTTTCAACATGATGTCATACTTATCATCATCATCAGCAGCCTATTAATGTCCCCACTGCTGGGGCACAGGCCTTCTTTATGGATGGTATAGAGAGATTGGGCCATACCCCACCACCCAGGCCAGGTGTTAACGATTGCAGATGCAGCCAGAACCAAGGGTTTAACGTGCATTCCGAATCATGGAGGAGCATCCAATAACCGACCACTGCCAAAGTTGCTTAACTTTAACGATCACAGCCGAACGCGCTAACTACTTGAACCATCGAGGTCTCTTTTACTACACTGTTATTTTGTTTATATGGCATTCAGCGTTGGTTTATAATGCAAAAATACCTGAGGTGGGTCCAAAGCCGGCACACAGGGTAAATTCATTCATCAACTTGGTGTACACGGCAGGCGAATAGTCCAGGCAAACGGTGTCGTTCTGTATCATGATGAAAGCAGCTCGCAAGGCGTCTGAAGGATTGTCGTCTTCGTCGTGACCAAAACCAACTACCTATTAATGACAATAGTGTTTTAGCCCCAAGGCCTAATGCACCAAAGATCATAGTTAAAATTAAAAACAAAATCATTATTATGGCTCATTATCTTTTGAATTCAAAGAGCAAGGACGCAGTGTTGTCATAAACAGAGTTAAGCTTAAATATATATATACATATATATATATATATACATATAATAAAATGGTAGGAAAGTCAAAACTGTACATTGAATATTTTTTTAAAAGAATATTTGGGTTGTAATCTACAACGATATCGAAGCCAAAAATATAGCTTTTAGATTTTTTGTCTGTTTGTCTGTATGTGTGTCCGGGATAAAGTCAAAAAGTACTGCATGGATTAACTTCAAATTTGGCACGAATATTATTAAGAAGTCGGGTCAACATAATATGCTACAAAATTATTATCAAGCTATCACCTACGGGGTGATAGCAGTTTCTAACTAACACCACACGTACGGAGTCGCGGGCGGCCGCTAGTGAATTAACAATGGTGTCGATTCTGTTATGATTATCTAAACCTAAAATTAAATTGACAACAGTATATCCTTTTCACTCTCCATACAGAATAATAAGGATAGACTAATGCTAAATCTAGTTTTAAGTTTAGAGAATCATGCCAGAAACTTCACCATTGTTGGTACAAGTGGCCCTAAGACAACTTTTGATGAGTAATGATAAGTACTTATTACGATATTAATAAGTTGTTTGTAAGCGTATTGTATACATTATGTGAGATAGATCATGGAGTACCCAGATAAACAAATTGCAACATCAAATTATATTAAATAAAAATATCAAAGGTGCAATTATATTATTATCTCAATGGGTTGGCAAGGATAATGAAATTTCAGGTATAAGTTCAAATTTTTCTTCTTTTTTTTATGGTGCTCAAATCGTGGATGTTCTTTGACATACAGTTTTAACAACTTAACTATAACTAACATAAACTCTATGTTTATGCATTAGGTGGTCGTTATACTTAATATCAATATTAAGTATTTCTGAGTCGAATAAGACGATGTTTTGAATGAAGTAAATTAACCCAAATACTTATTTCTTGCTCCTATAAGACTACGTTTCCGTCCGCGGTTACATCCAAGATGTACCTTCTTGGACATAATGGGTTAATATGTACACCTAGAAAAGTAAGAAATGCCATTAATTATTTCATCCCTTGTTTTCATTCCTCAGGGAATTGACTTTGTAATTCATTATTTACAAAGTAATTTGTAAGTTAAAGAAAAGCAAGAAATGGCATTCCATTTCTTGCTTTTCTAGGTGTAAATATTAACCCATAATGACAACCCTTAAAAAATATGTTCTGCCTATAAAAACTTTCTACTCCTACACAAGCTAATCTATAAATTACACATTGCTATTTTAATATTCAGGTAATTTGATACAAACTTTAATTACCAATTTCAACCATTCAGGGGATGACTTTATAACAATCCCTATTCTCGTGTGCTTACTTACTTGATTGAAGGGACTTTTGTGTCAACCTTCATGATTCTAGATCCAACAGTTTCAGCTGTGTGATGATAGATCAGTCAGTCAGCAAGTATTTACTCTTATAGTGGTTAAAAGAATTAAACGTGTTTTTTTTATAATATGTATTTTTTTCATTTTACTGCTAAATGTTTAAATGTAAAGAATGGACGGGGGAATGGACATTTAAACATGTTAAACCCTTCTGAAACCTGAACCGAGTGAATTTTTTTCTTGTCAAATTTTCTGTATGGATTTTTTGTCCAATCGGAACACTATTCAGTAGAGTTATTTAACTGTATTTAGTAACGTTGCCAGAAGACCAACGATGAAGAAAAGCACTACAAATATCGCAAACCTCAGCAGGCTAAGCTGGCCGTACTTAAGGCATGTTCTAGGGGTGATGACGGGGTACAGTAAACGAAATTCTATTTAGTCCGTCAGTTAGATGATAAAAAAATAATGGACACGTATTTTTTCTATGGGCAATCAACCAAAAAATGACTAAGTTATAGCGCGTCAAAGTACCAAAACGTTTTGTTTCCAAATGAATATATCTCTGCAGTGATTATATTATGTGAAAAAAGAAAAAATACGTGTCCAATACTTTTTGATAATCTACCTGATAAACGAAGAATAAAAATAGTCATCATCCCTATTATAATGGACATGTGAAAATTTTAAAATATATTATTTAATAATATATTTAATTTATTTGAATTTTTATTTTTTTATATTACGTTTAATAAAATCTATAATGATAATATCGATTTTATTTTACTTCGACAATCATTTCATTTAGCAGTGACAATATTATATAATTACGAATAATATGTACCGTTACGTGAAAAGCTGTGATAATTATATTGTAGCAATATGTGCCTTGATTGGTGGTGATACTCTTACCACCACCAAAATTATTGTGCCAGAAAAAGCAGCTCAAATTTTTAATAATAATAGGCTAAACTAGAGAATAGTGACAAAAAATGTAAAACAATGTGGAATATCGAAGCGTATAATCTTATGTTTTGTGGTAAAACAGATGCCTCTAACAACGTTGTTTAACGTTAACCACCTGTTTAATACCTGTTTCAAATTTTACGACTCCGTTCAACATTATTGCCGTACGAGTCAACCTATTTACTACAGTGTATCTCTATTTTGAGGAACTTGATGGCTTTTTGTTTAGGTTACTGCTTTAAAAAGAAGATACAGGAAATTTTGCAAAGGTTCGATCGACGACCCTTATGAAAAGCGGTTCGAAAATGTTCTTTCAAATGAAGATTCGAATCCGGGACCTCTGAGTAGGCGACACCTTGAAACCCGGCGTACATACCACTCGAACCACGGAGGTAGAAGAATACTTAGATTAAAACAAAAATGGTAGATACGGCACTAGCCTCACAAAAGTGATCCGCATGAATTGTGGTCCACGACCCTAATCGCTTTATTCACAACTTGACATGCAAACGCCAAAAAAAATATTGCTAATATTTTGTGTTTATATGATAAAACAATGCCTAAGTGTGTTTTTTAAAGTGCTCAAATTGCTCAAGAACTAAAAATAAAACCCACGGCATCACTTTTCATTCGTAAGTACTATAAAATATATTTTTTCATAAAAATTTGCTGTTTGTTTTGAATCTTATTCGGTAGTGACGTCTCTCTCTGTACGTCTACTCGTACTGGTCACGTGATTGTCGGTAGTGCAGTGACGCGGATCTCGCCGTCTCGTTCGCGCTGCCGTTGAAACTTAACCTGCTGTTTCGTTCGGGTCGGTAATGCAGTGACGCGGATTTCGCCGTCCCGTTCGCTCTGCCGTGGGATCAGTTTTTGTTTGATGCAAGTATGAGCGTACCGTATCTACCCTTATTGTTTTAATCTAAGGAAAAACATAGATAAAGTACCTACCGTAGCTATGCGTCCGACCAAGTCTGACTTCTGATAGACCGGGCCCCAAATGCAGATTGGCTGCACGTATGCGGTGTATCTGAACTTGTTGACTTTGATGATGGCCAGGTCAGCTGTGGCGGTGCCGACGTAATAGCTCGGATGTAAAATTACATCTAAAGCCTGTAATTAAATAATTCTGTTCATTATATTTCTATTTAAGCATTTAACTGCTAGATGTTAAGAATTAATTAATTAACTCTTTAAATTTAAACATTTACCAGTTAAATTCTTAAAATAAAAATATAGTTGGTCAGTGCATCCGCCCATTTAGCGGAGGGTGCGGGTTCGAGTCCCGTCTGCAGCCCGAACCGTATGGATTTTTTTCTAGTAAAATTTTCTTTAATATCTGTTCCGTTTCGGTACCACAATAAACTTTAATACCGACTTATCTTATTTTTGGTTTACTCATTGCAATTTTTTTCTAAAGATGAGCATAAACATCAGTAGGAATCAACTTTAGCTATATATTTTTTAATAAACTATTTAACTTACACTTGATATAACAGTGTTTCAAATCTTACTGGTTTTTAACAAAGTGCTTTAAACTCGAAGAATTGTAATAATGTAAACGATTTTGAACCAAATTCCTGGGACTTGAACTATCGCAATAAATAATAATAATATTATGCATAAAAAATATCACTTCATAGTATAAAGCAAAGTCGCTTCCCGCTGTCTGTCCCTATGTACGCTTAGATTTTTAAAACTACGCAACGGATTTAGATGCTGTTTTTTTTAATAGATAGAGTGGTTCAAGAGGAAGGTTTATATCTATAATACATGCATAATATAGTAGAGAAACACTGATAATTTTAGAGATTTTAATATAAGGGCGTAAATAAACACATTTTTTGCGCTTACATTGCAAATGCTGGCTGAACCCTACGAGATGGATCGAAATCATGTACTACAGTATTGTACACCTTATAAAGGTCTACAAAAAAGTCTGCGATGGTATATGTCTACCTCTTAGGGATAACCCACAATAACCATTTTTTATCCTTTACTTATTACGTGAAAATAATGGCTTATTTACGAAAAAGCGATTTTAAGCAATACAGCATTAATCCTTATTCAATTAAGTACGTTAAATACATTGTGCATGTAATATAGATCAATGTGGCCTTTTACTGCATATAATTTAAATGAATATTTTCGAAGATATTACAGATTTAAAATGCAGGGACATAGCGGTTGCGGCGGTACCGGCCGGGGGTCGCGTGCCTATGACAAAAAAGCTGTGAACGTTCGCGTTGTATATAAAGGCGTGCAAAGCCAGGGCGGGTCGCTAGTATAATATAATCCAAAAGTTACCAACCTCCAGAGTTTGTATTCCTGGTTGAAATAATGCTTTATGATTGCTCGTCCCAGCAATTACAGTGATTCTGTGTGGTTCTACTCTCTCGCCATCTTTGAATATGCAGTGTGCAGCTGCAAAAATATATGTACTATCATCATTAATTTTGATTTTTTAAACCCCGACGGGAAAAGAGGGGTGTTATATGTGGTTCTGTCTGTGGCATCGTAGCTCCTAAGCCAATGATCAATTTGGATTCGTTTTTTATATGAAATCTGACATAATAGAGATGGTTCTTGGTTATATTTTTTGAAGATCTGTTCAGGGGTTAGAGAGATCATCAGCTCATTTCCCATTTGATAAAAGGGCCTTCCAAATTTACAGTCACTTTTAATTTTGAATGCGTGCATTTATATTTTGGTGGAATTTCCAAGACATGGCGCAGCATCAGCAGTTGTAGCGTTTATAGGCTCATAAAAATGATCTGAATGAATAAATGATAATAATGGAAGCGTTGTTTGTAGTTTCTATAAAGAATTTTAAAATATTTAAAATCTAATGGAAATTTTTAAAAACACACGGTTTCCAAAAATAATCTAAAAAGTGAAAAAATAGTGTGTTGGCTCTCTAAGGTCCGTGTTACAGAATGACAACTAAGTGTTGATCTATATACTTGAGTACAGTTAGAAAGGGATATCGCTATGTGTTATATATAACGACATCCCTTTCTAACTATGCTCAAGACTAGATCAATCACTGAGAATCTTTCTATCTATAATACGGGCCTAAAAGTCTGAGTCTGACTCAGACATCGTCAAGTCGGGGGACCGCGATTAAGGAGAGCACCAAACAAACAAGGTTCTTATACTTAGTAATAATAATGAAATTATCTAATTCTTTGGCGGTACTCCCGGTGGTAAAAGATGAGATTCTCAGGTCGATGCATATATATATAATACATATTTTATGTATGACCACGCATAACTTTTTACAGAGTAGTCCGATTTTGATAAGGGTTTTTTTAATTGGAAATGGTATACCCCGAAGTTGGTCTCATCTTATTGTTATTTTTTTACTTGTTAGATTATTTTTAACCAACAAAAAAAGGAGGAGGTTCTCAAGTCAACGCGTAATTTTTTTTTGTAGCATAACTTTTTACAGAGTAGTCCAATTTAGATAATTATTTTTTATTGGAAAGGGTAACCCGAAGTTGGTCTCATATGAAAAAAGTCTACCCCAAGGGCAGAAAACAGTGGCTAATTGATTGTTCACTCACAGATTTTATTACTTCAGATAACAGTAAAAATCTACCAATTGCTTCCTTTATATAATTTTTGAGAATTTATATGAATTACAATTACTCATGATTTGAAATAAAAAATAACAATGTGAATGGATTCATTTAGAAGTTATTATAATGATGTTTTAAAACAAGTTCAGTGACCGACAGCAAAGAAAATTGTAGACTAGTAACTTGCAACCATATCATTAGAAAACTATCGCAGAATAAGCGAAGCGCTAACAAACTTTGAATAATAAAAGTGATCCTTTAATTTCATACTTTCATTTACTTAAATATTAAAGGACATTGAGTTGATTTTGACCTTTCTTTTTTTTTAACAAAGCGTGCCGACCCGTAATCCCCATTTTGTCAGATTACTCCCTAGCATTTCCATCAAATAATAAACGATATGATAAAGCGATATATAAAAATTGTCTGAAAAAGTACTACGGATTGTGATAGTTTAGTGTCGATAAAAAGCTCTAAAATTAATATATAGCGGTGCGGGGCAGGACTAAATCCTCTGCCCCTTGAAGCCCTGAAATCTCAACATATTGTGGTCTTTTATAAAGTTGAAGATCAACATAGATATCTACAATGTTACTTTAGCATGTGTTTGTATTAGTTCGTAAGGCTTTTTCAAATGATTGTACGAGTTCATTACCTGTAACAATCGCGGTCTTCGAGATAATATTGCCGCCGCAGTAATACGAAGTTTCGTTGGAGTCCAAATCTTTGATGAAAATGGCTACATGCCACGGCCAGTCTCCAGTCTTTGCATTGGACCGTAAGGAAACCAGCTCAGCGTTACTCAGAGATCTTCGACCGCATACATGAGTATGAAACGTGTCAGTGTTTTTCGTTAGATTCAGGGACTCCACAGTCTGTGCTGCCTGCAATTTGAAGCATCTTAATAGGGAACTTCCAAAGCTTAGGCCCTTCTTTATTTGTAGTCATAAGCAAATGAAGATAATAAATTAAGCACGCATCATAACTTTATTATTGTCCCCACTGATGGAGCACGAGCCTTTTTTATGGACGCAAAAGAGAGAATGGCGAGCCAAGACCCATCATGCGGGCTAAGTGCGGAGTGGTGAACTACTGCAGATTCAAGCTGGATCAATGAATTACGAGGAATATGCCTTCCGAAGCCAAAAGGAACTCTGCGTATTTTGAAGCAAATTTTCAGTACCATAGTTGTTAACCAAGCTCGTCGTTTTGACAAAGAAGAAGAAAAACAGTCAACATAATGACTTAAATTATTTTGAATTTCTAATGATTACGGTTGAAATCGCTTAAAACATAAATCTAGAGACTATAAGAAGCATATTTCTGCGTTCTTCCTAAAAGATAAGGCGAATCGACCATATTTTATAATATTTTAGAAAGTAAAAGAAAAGTCTGGTCCCTGTGTGATCTTCGTACTTCAAGTGAGTCAAAGGACTTAACAGACTTCAAAAAAGGCTGTATATATGAATGTTTGTCCGCGATTATCTCAAAAGCAACTGTTCCGATTTCGATGGGGTTTTCAGTATATAAATTCGTATTTATCAGGAATGGTTTAAATATATAATATACTAGCTTGCAACAGTGTTCCACGGTTTCACGCACGTAAATCGATTGGAAGAGCGCAAGAATTCCGTATAACACCAAAAATTTAAAAATACAGTAGCTCAAAAACAATAGAACCGACTTAAAAAAATCTGTAAATGAAAAATTAAGATTTACCGACTGATATATTTGAAGTCGGTTAATCTTATTTTTTTATTTGAAGTCTTTTTTAAGTCGGCTCTATTGTTTACTAAAAAATAGTTTTTGTCATTCCTGTATAATTATTCTGGATATTTTCAATTGAATGTTATGAGTATCGTAAAGGATTCGAAACTTTTTTGTATCAAATAATAAATTCCATAAATCGCAAAGACCAACATTTTGGTATTAGAGTAAGATCCCGAGCTTTACTTACTTTACTTACAGTCTGAAATTTGATTTTTATCTATACTATTTAGGGGTTTTATTTATGTAATTTGTAAGCTGCCACACCAATTGGAGGGGCCAAAATCCGCTAATCGTATTAAAAGGTCCGCCGTGAGTAAGAGCGCACTCATGAACTACTCGATTATCCATATTTTGTCCGTTAGAAAATAAGTAAGGTCTGGCAAGCTTGGTGTCCTGTACTATATGTTGATTTTAATAAAAGTCCTAGTCGTGACTAGGACTAGAATAATACGCCGCACTCGAGCGCATAGAACCACAAAAGATGGATTAACTATATACCTAGTCAAAATTTCACGTTAAATAATTCCGCTATGATGCATTTCGTAAGAGCTTTTGCGATTGATTTGAAAGCATCGTTTTTTCACATAAAAGATCTTCAAGGCCACAGCCCTAGAAAAGGGCGGAAAAGTCAAAATATGTAGATGACCTATTCAAGGATACTTTTATAAAACAACATTATTTTTTAGGATTCCTTACCCAAACGATAAAAACCTGACCCTACTACTAAGATTCCACTGTCCGTCTGTCTGGCTGTCACATGGCTATATCTCATGAACTGTGATAGCTAGACAGATGAAACTCACAGATAATGTATTCATTTCTTTTGCTGTTATAACAAGAAACACTAAAAACATAATAGAATAAATATTTAAGGGGGCTCCCATGCAACAAACGTGATTTTTTGCCGTTTTCTTCTCTATATTAATAACGTTAACAGTTAGACGCTTGGAATATTCACAGAATATATAGTTGCCGTAATTTAAAAAAGTAAAAAATACTTAATTTCAAAATCCACTTATTTTCTATTGGAATAAAAATCTTCATTAATCATTTATTATCTGGGTGATACTAAGTAAGCTGCAATGCAACATAGTTTTTATAAATTACAAATTTAATTTAACATTTTTTTAAATTCTGTATTAATAAATCAGTTAATATGGGCTAAGAACGGGATAACACAATAACAAAACATTTGAAAGCGATCTTTTCTAACTACTTTTTCTAATACATAAAAATAATTTATAGAGTAGGTACTTATAATTATTGATATGTTGGTAATCATATAAATGTAGATAAATTGCTCTAAAAAATGTTATTGTTCCCAAGTACTTCTCCACAAAAAGGAAAATATAACGTAGAAAATACAACCGGGAAAGTAACAATTCTTATAAGAATAATTGTTTTTGGATACTTTAAATAAAGCCTATTAGAGGATAGGACCAAAACTGGCGATCGATCACTCTGCGATCGTGGAAGTTAAATAACTTTTACAATAGTCTTTTGAAGGATGGGTGACCAAAACTATATTACCTTCACGTTTTCCGTGCCTAGGAATGCTCGCTAGGCCGTTATATTTACGGCTGCATCTGCAATCGATAGCACCCACCAATCCGCACTGGGTCCGCGTGGTGAGTCAAAACACACTCTCCCTATTTCCATTCATGTGGAAGATCTGTGCCCCAACAGTGGGGACAATAATAGGCTGATGATGATGAACATATGTTTGTCGATTTCCTGCCATTCTACCATGCGGTATTTTGCATTATTTTTATAAACTAGTTTTTACCACTTACCTTAATTTCTTCATTGCAAAGAGTGATGTTGTTAATACTGAATTCGATAATGGATGGAACGTCACTATGATTCTCTACACAGTCTACTACTGCCAAGTAAAATACATAATGTGTGGGTATATGTCCTTTAGGTCTTATACGGTATTCCCGTAAATTGCTATTGACGAAGAGTGACGTATTCTGCGATACCTAGAAAAAAGTTTTGATAAGTACATCACACCACCTTAGATTACTGGCAAGTATATACTTTAATGGCCTAAATCTAATTATTCTACTCCGTGAAGCTCTAATAACTACTTTAACTTTATGAACACTACAGAATATTTAAAAAAATGGATTTTGCCAGGTCGCGGCAGACAAGTAGCTATACTTTTATTCGAATGAATGAACGCTAATTTTAGAGTTTAAAAATAAAATCAATAAACTATAAAATTTAAAGAAATCAAGCCAAAAAATACAAGCAATATTTAATAGTATAATCTTACATCATGTTAGTTACGGCCTTAACTAAAAATAGATATAGGGCATAGCGGATTTGCCGCTCCAATGGGAGCGCCCGTCTGGGAATAACCTATATCTTTCAGTGCATCACAGTAAAACAACACTACCATTTGGAAGTTTTGTGTTTCTGTCGGTAAGGCTCCGGAGCTCCACGGGGTAGGGGATTGAGTCAGGGTAGGCAACGGTGCTAGTAATATTTTTGGTATCGCAAGCGCCTATAGGCTATGGTAGCCCCTTGGCAACAGGCGGGTTATACGCTTGTTTGCCAACTTTTTAATATAAAACAATATATATTTAAAAGTAGGCGCAAGCGATCGTATAAACTGTAAACGAATGACGAGATTGCCTTGATTGTTATGACTAACAGCGAGTGCTTGTAAAGTAATAAATAAACTGAATAAATCGTCGTTACTAATCAAGAATTAAGGAATACGGTTTAAATTTTGATACATCGTTCTATATTTATTGTAGCCGAATCAAACAAATATGGAATTTCATTATTGTCCTCGTATCGTTGGGGAATTTGGGGTACAACGATTCTTCAAAGGATTAAATGGACATGCCGCTATTGGCCAATAATGATGGATTAGGATCTGAAAAATGTATTTTGTTTTAGAATTTCGCATTCGATGATACTTATAGAAAAACATTACAAACTCCATTCAATCACATAATGTAAGTAGAGCTTTCACTTTGGTTCATAACAAGTTATATATTATATTATCTTTTTGATGTAGCTTCAAAGGTGACGAGATGAGATGAGTAAATGAAACTAAATATAGCGTTGAACAATTGATTAATCAGCTATTAAACTAGAATTCTAGTTAAAGTCCCAAGAACTAATTTGGCTATAAATACATTTGAAAAAATCCGTTGACTGGCTGTTCCTAATATATACTCATCAAAAGAGTATAACCAATATGATTTTTTATCGGTCAAAAGATTTAAGTTATATTACTTCGTTAATAATAACAAATTTATTTTACGACTATGGCAAAAAAAAGCCTTTGAATAAATTATTAATTTCATAACAATAATAGAAAATATCAACTGATAAAACTTGAAGTTTGCGTAATATATGCATGATGCTAAGACTTCTTTTATCACAGACTGAGAGATAAGTATATATGTACTTAGTACAATTCTAATTTATCTTACCTCATAAATTCTGACTTGCTTCTCGAAGTGTATTCCAACATCCACTTGTAACAAGTTACTATAAAGTCCCAGGTACATCACACCCCTCCACACTCTTTCCGTTAGCCTATCAAAATGTATTACTCCCAATCCACAAGGATCATATCGAGTGAAAGGTGGCCCCTCAATGGCCATAGGCTGAACAATTAACAAGCAGAAGGAGATCGTAATGAAAAAATAATAAATCGACATGACGAACTTCAATACTAATGGCACAAGTATTAGCTGGAGCTATCAACTTTACTACACTACTTATCACAATTAAAACAAAACTGACTAATTAAAATAAAATAACAAACGTTTGTAACCACTTTTTCAACATATAGAGTGTTCCAAAAATTACATGAGTCTTATGCAACGCAACCTCCGGAAATGTAAAAGTGGCGCGAACCACACCGCTTTTAAGTGAAAGTTTTCAGTGATTCACTTTCAAACCATGTGTTATGCAAAACAAATTTTCTTTGTCCAAATCTGTTCAGTAACAGGGTTAGTGTAACATAAATGACTAATTTTAGTTACGGAAACTACACCAGTGTGACAAAAAACATATGTAATATGTTTGCTTTGGGTAAACCAGTCCATTAACCTACTGAAGAAATCAATACATTGTTAATACAAGTGCATCACAATTAAATTACCGTCCTAATAATGAAATTCGATGAACAATTTATGATTTTTTTTTTGATATTTTTCCGATAGACTCGCAGATTTTCATGAATGAATTTAAATAAATAGATTATTTTGTGAGTGTTGTGACGCAAATTTCATTTTGTTGTGATTTGCAGGTCTATTGATACCCGCGCCGCATAAATATGGAATTAATATCACATTGAAAATATCCGGAAAAACCGGCCAAGTGTGTGACGTGTCAAGCGCTGTGTAGGGTTCAGTAGTTGTAGTTACTACAGTATATTTGAGCAAGAGTATTTATTTTGTATATAAGGAATTAGAAAAACCAATTTTTATCAATCTATCTCAATAAAATATCTTAAATCAAAGTCAAACTGCGTCTCAAACTCAAAATCAATTCGATATTATTATTTTTTAAATACGAATGATTACCGCCGATTTTATTTTGTTTCCTACCAGGTGGGGGAGCGGGTGTGAAATCCTTATGGATACCCTACAGCCTGCTGCAAGGTTATGTTAGACTCTTACTAACTAAAATACACCCTTATGTATGCTATTGGTCGCAGATGACCTTTACAGCGTCACCGGGTTTGGGAACGGCGAGTTCCTAAGGGGACCTCAAGCCGAGAATTGGCAAGTGCCTCTAGAGGTATTGCAGGCGGATGGCATCTCCCCACGGGGAGACTCTCCCCTCCGCCTAGAGCCTCTAGACCACTCGAGCCTGAGGGCGTCTCAGAGTCTCGGACCTCGGCTTTAGTTAGCCGTTGTCATAGGGGGGCTTATGGCCAGCTCTTGCTTACATACTCTTTATAAAAACGTTACGTTAACGCGACTCAGAAGTCGTTGCCTTTGATACTCGCGGTAGCGTTGTGGAACTAGTGATATTTTATTGTGGTTCTTAAATAGTTTTTTTTTATTTGTTTAATCTTATTTTAACTTTAATGACCAAAATAAAATAGAATGGTACAAAAAGCGGACCTAAATTTGGTTGCAATTCAAGGTTTACGCCACAATTACTTCATCTATGTCACTATTAATGTTTTCTTCTAAGGTATTTTCAATAGATAAGAAATTTTCTTTAACCGATGTTGAACGACTATTACTCTTAAACTAATAAATGTATCTCAACCGTTCTAGGTTATAGGAATACTCCTTAAAAGATAATGGAAAGCACTATTATTAGGACTTTTTCCAGGTTTTTTAAGCAAATACTTTAGCTTTTAGAGGGAGGAGGGGGGGGGGGGGCGTCCTACTCAAATAAAAATTAGCACTTTAAAGTTCAATATTTCGCAAACGAATCGAAATCAATATTTATATCGAAAAATAGTATTAGGAACACATAGGAAGTAATTTTAAAGGACCTATTCAACGTCATCGCACGTAATGGGATATATAATGTAACCATAAAATAACCATAAAAAATATATTTCAAAATTTTATTCTAACATTTTGTCGGCGTGATCGATGTACATATCTCCACAAAATAAAATCTCTCTAGTGCTAATAGTCTTCAAGCAAAACCGAGGATGGACAAATGGACATGACGAAACTATAAGGTTTCCTTATTTGGACTACGGAACCCTAAAAACATAGTTTCGTTTCTTCATTGTTAACTGTTGAAATAAAGCGGATTTTTGCAGATGACTCTGTTAAAATCTTATATATAAAATTCTCGTGTCACGGTGTGCTTAATTGAACTACTCCGAAACGGCTCCACCGATTTTCGTGTAATTTTATATGCATATTCAGTAGGTCTGAGAATCGGATAACATCTATTTTTCATCCCCCTAAATGTTAAGGGTGGTCCATACTTAATTTTTTTGGACAATTATTGTTTTTTTACTATCATCATCACATACATCATACAAAAATACATACAACCCAAAATTTTCACCGTTCTACCACCAAACCCTATTTTTTAATGGCGGAACGAAGTTCGCTGGGACAGCTAGTAATATATTATATGCGTTTTAAATACGGTTCACATTTAAAAAATATTATTAAGTAAAATAAATTTGTATATGTAATCGTAATAATAGTAAACATTGCTTTGAAATCATGATGTATATAATTCACTGAAAAGCAGATGTCCTGACTAGAGGTGGTGTTGATAATTGAAAAAAACTATTCGTTAAAAGTTAATAGTTGAATAAAAATAACAGATAATTTTATTACCTTTAAATATCACTTAATACTTTTATTCAAATACAACGTCGGAATATTTTTCACAATTTGACTTTTTATCAATATTTTTATTAGTTCGGTCTGTGATTTAAAATATTAATTACGACAATTTTATCAGTCGGTTACATTTATCTATGCAATTTAATATAACTCTCGCGTTAAAATCAACATGAATTGAATGAATATTTTATTTCGATATGGTTGAAAATATTTATTGAATATATGTGTTAATTTCCTATTAGTTTAATTTAACGGTTGATAAATATATTCAACAACACTAGCCCTGACCGTTTAATTGACCTATGTGATACTATGTAATCGAAGTTTTTATCTCGTTATGAAAATAAATATATTTATGTATCCACCATATTTTAATTGTGTTATTTTTTGTTTATCCGTGATTCTTTAATGGCTATTTCGAGGAAATTTTTGTGTTAATGAAATATATAATATGGACTCAATATGCGAATATTTCCTTGAAGATATTTATTTATAGCAACATTTATAACTTCAAGTCTATTCCCTTATTTTTCAGTTGAAAAATAAATAAATACCAAATGAGATTTTATATTTAGTACATCTTATTATTTCTTGAGGTTCTTTATTTTCTAAGTAGTCCTAATATACAATCAGCTATTAAGACTTTCTTTGGCATTTGCAATTCAAACGCGTAACATTAACATCACACTTAAAGTGGAAATAAATAGCTTACGGTTTCTCGGTAGGTAACGATACATTGCAACTACGGTTCTTAGAATAGTGCTAACTGCTTACCCATGCAAATACGGTGTCTTCAGTAGCTTTTACCTTTATTGCGGGTCAAATTTATGCTGACACTATAGAATTCCATGTACCCATGCCCATTACTTAGATTCTACTCAGTTATTGTGTTAACATGTGTGCCAACAACAAAGTTAATAGTTTATGTTCTGTTATTAGTTTAACCACTTTCTTATAACCTATTTTTATACATTTGCAAAGTAGCATATCTAAATAACTGCATGTAAGTCTGAAATTAAATTCTGAAGTTGTATATTTCATGAAATTCTATAAATGATTGGTCTAGCGTGAAATGAGACCAAACATTTATCTATGTGTAAAACATAAATCCGCCATATAGACAGCATACATAGAATAAAGTCAAACCTGAATTAAAACCGATGCTATCATTTTTGTTTACTAAAAAGAAGATAGAAACAACATTAGGATTAAACCAAGACTAACTTTAGTCCATGTTTTGGAATAAGGGAGTAATCGTTGTAATACATGAACGACTTGTGAACTTCTTAAAGTTAAACCATGTTTAGTACCCTAAAAAGTTGAAGTAGGGTTACCACGTGGTTACCACCATATAACTTTCATGCAACTACAATTTACGTTTTGTCATAGTTATTATATGCAATCAGCCCTAAATCCTTAAGAAGGTTTCGTAATTAAGTTATGTGGAATATTTTTTTTTGCCGAAAAAATATACTATACTAGTATATTAAAATCATAACATGCAGCTGTTATACAGTATAAGCGAACAGCAAAGTTAAAGAAATTTTATCAACATATTGTACACAGAACCTTACAAATAAAGGGACTACTTTTAATAATATATTTTAGTTTTTATATCATATTTTTTAAGGTTTTTAGTTTTAGGTTCATTGTTCTAGTATATGTTTCTTGATAATTTGTAAATTGCAGATAAATAGCAAATTTGATCTATGAGTAACGTAATTTTACGTCTCTATGCCTCATGTTAGTATGTAGTATTAACCTTACAAATTATTAATATACAATAAGCAAACATTACCAAGAGCAGATTTCTAAACCACCCTTGGTTCCTATTTGCAAAATTGCCAAAATATCCCGGAGGGTTTCCGCATAAGGGTTTGAAAGTCAAAAGCATACCTGGCGCGCCAATTCAAGGGTGAAATTAACACAATACTTTTAAGGATTGCAAACTCGTTCGCCGGAATTTCTCTTGCATAATGCTTTTGCCAACCCTGTGGACAACATTACATACTTGTTGCAGTAGCAAAAACAAAATCATTTCTTTTTTTTATAGCCTAACACCACATTTGCAAAAAACACTATTTGGACCGTCGAAAGTACGACCGAAGAGGCTTTTTTGAATAACAACCAGGAAATTAATTGTTTCAACTAATTTCCTTTGCTTTTTTGCGTTGTTAATACAGACACCGACTACTGCATCAAGTTTTCGATTGATTGCAATTTCCTTTGCTCTAATTACTGTTCATTAGTGTTCCGTATTAAAATTCGATATAGGTTTTTTTTTGCATTACGGAAAAGAAAATTCATTATCATTGACTGGT